AAAGTGTTCCATATGAGATTTAAATAGCCTTCACAAGTCTCAGTGATACTAGAGAGTTTTTGCACATTGCTATTATGTGTATGAGGTAGCCACTTATACATCATTTTATCCTGACAGTAAAAGGCACATATTTAATGTTGTGCCATTAAACTTAAAGATTATGTCCCTATCACCTGCTTCCACCTTTATCTTTACCCCCACCTACTATATTCTTTTTAAAAAAATATATTTTATTGATTTTTTACATAGAGAGGAAGGGAGATAGAGAGCTAGAAACGTCAAAGAGAGAGAAACATTGACTAGCTGCCTCCTGTACACCCCCTACCGGGTATGTGCCCACAACCAACGTACATGCCCTTGACCGGAATCGAACCTGGGACCTTTTAGTCCACAGACCGACGCTCTACCGCTGAGCCAAACCGGTTTAGGCCCCACCTACTATATTCTTAATATAATTACCAAAGTGATCCTTATGAAACCAATTTTTATTGTTGTTAATCCTTACCCAAGGATATTTTTCCATTGCTCTTAGAGTGGAAGGAGGGAGGGACAGAGGGAGGAAAGTTGGGGGAAGTGGGGGAAGGGAGGAAAAGGGAGAGAAAGAGAGAGAGCCAGAGAGCGAGAGAAAGAGAAGTGAGAGAGACACATCAATTGATTGCCACTCTCATACATACCAACTATGGCCAGGAATCAAACGTGTGACCCCCCAGTGCATGGCCTGATGCTCTTAAAACCAAGTTTTGATCATATCATGGCTCTGTTAAAAGCTACCCAATGGTTTTCTATTTAACTTAGAGCAAACAATAAAGCCACTCTATAAAATGTTACAAATCCCTCCTTGAGCTGCCCTTTATCTACCCTATGACTCACAGTTTATTAGTTTCCATAATGCTCATTCCTCTCCAGCCACACTGCCCTTCAACCTGATGTTCTTGGAATATATCAGATGCACGTGTACCTCAAGGGTCTTTGTACCATCTGTTCCCATTGTCTAAAAGTTCTTCTCAAATGCGGTCTTGTGGCCTATTACCTCCCCTCTTTCAAGTCTTCTTCTAAATATCACTTTGTTGATGAGCTTCCATGATCACCCATTTAAAAAAATTACAACCTCTCCCTGCAAGTAATCTCTCTTGCATTTTCTTCCTTAGGATCATCTGATACATTAATTATAATTATTATTTAGTAGTATTGTTTTTTATAGTTTTATTGATTTTTTTACAGAGAGGAAGAGAGAGTTAGAAACATTGATGAGAGAGAATCATCAATCAACTGCCTCTTGCACACCCCCCACTGGGGATATGCCTGCAACCAAGGTACATGCCCTTGACTGGAATCGAACCTGGGACCTTTCAGTCCACAGGCCAATGCTCTATCCACTGAGCCAAACCGGTTTTGGCTATTTAGTAGTATTGTTGTTGTCATTGTTATTATCATCATCATCATTCTCTGTTGTCCAAAATACAAGTTCTATAAAAGCAGAATATGTGGCATGTGCTTTATGGTAGATGCTCAAAAATAAGTTTCAAGCAAATGAATAAGGCAAATGAATAAATAAACCTAAGAAAATGGGATAGAATATTCTGAGTGTTATATCCATATAGACTAAATGATAGAACACATTTATTTTGACACAGAATTGCTCTTCTACTAACAGACATAGAGTAGAGGTCTGAAAAGATTAGAAATACATTGATGTGTATATCATATACTAATGACTACTACTTTTAATGCTTAGAGTATAAGAAATGTTTCGGTTAATGTGCCATTGAACATACAGATAATGGCAGGTTCTCAGGCATCTAAACATGATGTTACTGGCTTTGCACCAAAGCTGCAGCAGTATGCACCACTAAATTCTGATGGGGAAAAAAATGTAGCTATATCTATAGCTACATCTACATCTACATCTGTATCTACACATCTCAGGCTGACATCAGGAACATTTTTTTTTTTCCAGAAATCAAATTCCAGAACTTCGGCTGTGAACTGTTTTCCATTTGCCCCATGTCCCAAAGCATCCCAAACTGTATTTAGAATTCTGGTTTCAGAAGGTTGTGTGGTTTAGTTTAAAGAACATAGATACCTGTATTTGAATCTACTTTACTAGCTGTGAGTAGTCAGGGAAGTCTGTGTCACAATGACCTCATCTATAAATACATTTTTAGAATAAAATGATATAGTCTAAAAATGCCAGAAGTACCTGGTCCAAATCTTGGGTCTGTCTTTGTTTATGAGCTATGGCTCTTTTGGTTTTGTTTACGAGCTATGCTTTGTTTCCAGCTATGTTTATGAGCCATGCTGACTTTGTTTATGAGCTCTGCTTCTTTTAGTTTCCGTATTTATAAGAGGAGGATTACTATGTCTAAGGTGCAGTTGTGGGATCTAAGGATAATAAGGTAAGGCACCTAGCATGGTCTCTGTGTGCAGCAGATACACATTAAAGAATAGCCCCATCTATAAGTCTTTTCTGCTGCCTTTTCCCTCAGTGCATCACAATGATCGACTCACCACCATTAGCCAGGTCATCAAGCCAAGGGAAAATGCTCCTTTATGAAGTACTAATAAAGTAGGCTTTCCATAAACATTTATGAAATAAATAAAAAGTGTAGAGATTATGTTTCATATGCAGTATTTAAGGAAGCAGGGGACTATAAAGTACATTTTTGAGAGAAAATTGTAGTAATCCAGTTTAGAAACGAAACAACTGAATTGCTAGATGCTATCTAAAGCATTTCTAAAGGTTCATTTCAACAAAAATACCTGCCTGAATATGTGTGTCTGTGTAACTTCAGAGGGCTGAAATTGGATTGCAGGCAGATACTCCAAACTCAAAAGTTCAGCTCAGTAAACAGAAGATGTACATATGACAATCAACCTTCACAGAGGCTCTGATCTGACTGCAAATAAATGAGTTCTTGTGGCTTTCAGGATCCAACAGGAGCCTTGATGGCCACAGTAGAAATACTCTCAAAAGCATTTCCAGGGCCAAAATTTGATAAAATAATTATCTTAGCCTTATAGTAACTGTAATAAGTGCAAAACTGGTCTTTATACACAACTCTGAAATCAAAACCTTGTTAAAAATACTCTAAACAGACTTTAAAATGTTTAAAAGCACATCTGTTTGTGTATACAATACACACACTCAGCTTCTGTTGATGTCAACAATTTTGGGTGTTTTTTTTGTTTTGTTTTTGTTTTTTACTTTAGATTGTGAATAAGTAGATTGCTATATCTATAAAAATTAAGTTCTATCTTAATGTCTTATAGCTAAACTTTTAATGAAGAAAGTACATTAAAAAATTTCAATATCAGTGAATATATTTTATCAGTCAGGGCTACTTAAATGTAGTTGAAAATTGGGACTAAAAATTGGGAAAATCCTAAATTATTTCAATGATGTGAGAAAGAAGCTTAAAAATGAACATTGTGATGAATGCAGCATGTTAAAATTATTTGTTAAAGATTTCCAAATAAGATAGTTTATGGTGCATTCCAAATTAGAAACAGAATAATCTGAATGAAGAAAACTACTGATGAAAGAATTACTTCTCTGACTTCTGAAGCCATTCAACTGGATAATTATAGAATATTTTTAGGTCCTCTATGCCAAGTGAGTTATGATGGAATTTAAAAACCAGTTTCACCTCACATCTGTGGAATGGAAAATACGTTAGTGCTAAATCAATAGTTTATTTCAGTGAAATGTGCTATAACATATTTTGACAGCATAAAATTTAGGAGGAGTCTCCTTTCCAGATTGCCTTTTTATATTATTTCTAGAGCCTTTGTTAAACTGAGGTGACTTACTCTGTAATAGCTATACCAGGAACCTGAGGATTACAAACTTAATCATCTTTCAGAAAGTAGTGTATAATTTTGGATCAAAATCATGTTGGGTTTTTAGTTTCACAATAGACTAGGGAAAAAGCATAAAAAGTCAATGTATTCTATATGTGGAAATCAATAATGTTGGCTTCCGATGACAGATATTTGGTCTCTAGCACCACAGTGAGATGGAAACGCCATTCAGTCACTCTCTCCATTATGCACTTATTAGCTCTCCCTCGTGTCCCTAGAATTTCTTTCCCTTATTCAACTGGCAACCTTTTCTTTACCAATATTCACCAATATTTTCCATTTACATAACCAAAGTTTGTTCTACTTTCTATTTCTATAACCCCACTTTTTTTTGTGTGAAAATTGAGCTCAAATCCTATATTAACATTAACAAAGCTTTATCGGCTTTCTCTGCTTCATGGCCTTGACCTCTTCCTATAAACAGCCAACTCCCTAGACTCACATTCTTTTATCCAGTAACTACCTCCAGACTCTTCTATATGTATGTTTTAAATGCTGCTATCCTCCCAAACGTTGCCCAAATTGTTCTTCTCTCATTATTTAAACGATTATAGAAATATAAGCTCCACCACTAAATCTGGTTAATAAAAAGAACGGATGCCTTTCTTTTGTTCCCTGTGGACTACAGTGGAACCCCAGTGTCAATGGGTCACATATGTTTAACAGCTTTATCGAACAACCAGCTTAATACCGCTGCTATTGTTGTTGTTTTGATTTGATCACCCATACATCTTAGATACAAGTGTTAATGGTGTTTAAGTTTGCTATTTTTCTAGAACATTGTCTTGGGAGGTACAATTTAAGAGCATAATTTTGATAAGATGGCACTAACATCATGAAGCTATAGGTCCCTCCTGAATAAAAATCAAGTCTCCAGGATCTAAATTATATATATAAACACATGTATGTGTAATTTATTTATATTGTATATAGATTCAGATGTATATAAAAATCTATGTGTATAAATGTTTGAAATCTTTATATGGATATAAAACACACAATAAATAACCTCACTTTTTAAATGACATGGATAGCACGAGAAGACTGTTTCTTTTTAAGCATCCAATAAGTAATCATCTAGTGACTAATTGCTCACTATATGAAATCCACCATGGTGTGAATGTGCAGCTTTGAATTACCTCTTCTTTCCTTGTGTCACGTCCTTTCTGTACAAACCAGATCACTTTTGCTTGCAAAGACCGTGGAGTGCATTCCAGCAATGTACTGTTGTTCTCGATGGCGTATGCCAGTCGCTCTTCAGTCTTATCCAAAGCATCCCCTACAATACAAATGTTAAGATCAGCCTTGAGTCTTGGATTTTACTGGTAAATAATACCTCTAAAAGATTATTCATTAGATCCCGGCGGCAAAGTAAGTAACTCTCATTTATTGCTAATTTCAATGCAAGGTGATCTAAATGAGTTTTTTTAGAGTTGGTGGGACACCAAAATCTCAACAGTAAAGACACAGCAGGCTGGGGGTGGGACAGGAGGAAGTAACTGTGAGTTTGGTTTCACAGGATAAGACAAGCAGGACAGTAAAGGGAAGCATCTGTGTTACATTAGTCATCGGTGTTTACTGTATAGGAAATCCATGGCCAGTGCTTAGCAAAGAAGGTAAGAAAAGGTGAGCACCAAAGGTTCAAGCAAGGCATAGGGCTCAGTTCATGGTTACACGAAACAACAGCAGAAAGCAGAAATTGAGGCGATGGGGCTCTACATAAATTCAGAGTGAGTGGCATCTTGACAAGGCATTGTGCTTTTCCAGACATGGGGCTCCCGCAGTAAGAAAAGGGTATGCAGCGGAACTAAGGATTCTGTGTACCAGAGCTTCTGGATTGCAAACTGTATCTTGGATCAGAAAGGTTCCCACTGAACTTGAACCCACATGTGCACACAAGCAAGGATACCTCACCACAGTGGGAATGAATGAAAGCAAGTGGATTCAATTTGTGTTGCTTTAACCACGGTCAAAGTCAATACCTAGATCCCAGGGCTTTTTCCCAATGCCTGTGTCCTCACCTTTCAAACTGACCCCTACGTTTCTCTAAGATTGAGATCCTGCCTTTCTCTAGCCAATCTTCTCAGAGACTTAGTTCTGCACCAAAACTGGAGTCAGCTTAGGGTCCATCAAGCTACTACCAGGCCACAGTCTCTGGAACTGTGTGTAAACACCTCTGGTCTCCAGCCACGGTGCCCCCTCCCTCTGTGACTGCCTGATGAACCCGGTGACACTAAGCCTGGCCTGTGCACCAGCCACCTTCACGGTGTGAAGAGCCCACACTGTTCTTACCGACCCCTGTTCCTCAGAAACCAACATCTGCGCAGCCAACCCCAGCTCTAAGCTGCCTAGTATTCCACTTCAGTGAAAGAGCCAAAGTTTTCCTACTTTATTCTACCCCAAAACTTAGTAGGTAACTTAACACAAGTCAGAGCACTCCTAGCAGAAGTGGTGGTAGAATATAAAACTTCATTTACTGAATCAGAAAAGATTATATGTCCAATTCATAGTTTCACTCAGTGGTCGGCAAACTCATTAGTCAACAGAGCCAAATATCAACAGTACGATTGACATTTCTTCAGAGAGCCAAACTTTTTAAACTTCAACTATGCAGGTAGGTTCTTTATGATTAACTTAATTAGGGTACTCCTCCCATAGCACTATACATGAGTGCCCGCACATGGTATTTTGTGGAAGAGCCACACTCAAGAGGCCAGAGAGTCGCAGGTGGCTCGCGAGCCGTGGTTTGCCGACCACTGTTTTAACTGCATGGGAGAATAAAAAAAAATGCTTTGAGTAATACTAGGCTTTTATATGTCAATCACAAAGAAAACAAGGGCTGTATTTTAAGAAATGTGCAATATCTCTTCAATGTGCACTAAGTAACCCATAACAATCAATTTTCCACGGATTACCGACAAACTGCTGTCCAAAGCACTGCTGCGCTGCGTTTCCGTGCCGAACGTCTTGTCTGCGGAACCGCCTGGAAGGAAGGAAGCGCATGTAGATGTTCAGATTTCCATTTTTCCAGACTTTAAAACACAGCCAAGCACATTAAAGATTCAAGTAGCATTCTGCTACTGACAAAAATTGATCAGTCACACAAAACAAGGATAAAATCTGAGTTTCATTGTTTTCAATATTTCCATTGAATGTCATTCACTGGGCAAGATCCTTGTAACATTATTCTTTAAATGTTCACATACATTTGAATTCTGGATACTGAATCAATTTAAGAAAGTTCTCTTTGCATTTTATTAAAGAAATTAGCTCAATAAGAAGCCTAATTTGAAATGAGTGTCTTGGGTGGTAAGGCATGTGTGCAGAGAAAGAAGTAGAATTTGAAGCAGAGCAGTTGAGTAAAAAAAATACATAAAACTTCTTTATAAAAAAGTACATGTAAAAATGGTATTGGAATCCAAATATTGTGTTCTATAGCCATCAGGATCAATCAGTCCAAACACAGTTGCTAATCACAAGATAACTAAAAACATATTTAGCTTACTCTTTTATTCAGACATCATATGTAGAAATTATATGCTGCTATCCAATATGGTGGTGTGTTATACATTTTTAAGAGGATATCTTGCAACTCTGTCTATTAGAATCAGGATAACTTCTAGCATGGTTTCATATTTTACAAACTGTTTAGATATATATAATTGAAAAATAATAGTATAGAAAAAATTCAGAATATATATATAAAACCTTGAGATATATATATATATATATATATATATATATATATATATAACCTTGTTTTAACTTTGTAAGAAACTTTCTGATGGATTAAATAATGGAAATTATCATGATGAGTACTGGAATTCTAAAATTAAGAACTTCAGCATATTAATTCGGATTATAGAAAAAACAGAAGTATTACATAAAGGCAGAATATACCTCTTCTCTAAAGCATGGCATTTCCCCAAAACCGTGGGGAAAACAGAAGGCAGAGCAGAAGTTTTTCCCTAGAGAGATGGTGAGGTTTCTTAAGTGACAATGAGAAGCTTGAGCCATATGTGATGATAAAATTTGGAAAAAGGAACCAGATTCAAATCCCAATGCCACCACTCACATGCTGTATGATCTTATACATATCCCTTTCATTTTCTGGTCCTCTGTGTCCTCCTTTGTTAAATAAAATTGGTCTGACACCTAAAGTTTATTTTAGTTTCAACTTTTTTTTTTTCATTCTAGGTTCCCTTCATTGCCTCTCCATAATGATAATGGAATATTATTTTAAGATATGGAGTACATTCTTACATATGAGTTTAGATCTTAGTTAACAACTCAACACTTAAACAATTGTTTAAGTACTTCCCTATATTGAAAACCAGAGCAGATGAACACTTCTAATCATTTTTTAGGATTATGACCTATGTATAAGAGCATGTTTTGTTTTTAAATAAAAATTATTGATCTGAAAACCTTATCTACAGATACAAGATATTACAAAGTTAAGATTAAGTCTGCCACATGGATTATTCTATTGAGATACTGAAAATACAACTTGACAAAAAAGTAAAGAGCAAAAGTTAAAACTTGCATGCTTCTATATGGCTTCCTACTAACATCCACAGCTATTATACCACTGGTGGCAGCTCTGGGTGAGATTTGAACTGCTTTTGTTAAATCTTCACTACACTGAGTATTTCTCTGGTACTGGGAATACAAAGTGTTTCGAGCAATGATGGATGAATAATGGAGCAGAGTAAATCACTGAGATGACAAATGGTTTCCACTTTGCAGAAATGATGTGTACCATGTGTATTATACAAGTGACATGAAAATAAAGGAAACTCCAATCAGATAGTTCTAGACAAGCAATGTCAATAATAACCATGCAAAATTTGTTTAGAATCACTGAAAAAAAATGCATTTTAAAAGAAAGATTTCATAAGGCTTTCATTCACTGCATACTCCCCTAACATAGCTGTCCCTTATTTCAGCATTTAAAAAGGAATGTAAATGCTTAGGAGTTTTAGAAAGGTTATCCAAAGTTGCCTTTTATCCTCAAGGTTGCATATTTTTCTTATATCTCTTGCCTCATAGAAACTTTTTAAGAGAACACTGGAAATAGACAAATTACAAGAGCAAGGAGAAGAAAAGACCTAGTTCTATAAATTTTAGTGTGTTTTGGAAGACTATTTTAAACAAGTGGTTTTCATTGTATATTAATCTCCCCCCCCTCTGTTGACTCATTTTCACTCTGTGAATAGAAAAGTATTTATGTTAGTGACCAGTTTTTAATTTCTGCTGCTAGTCAGGTCTGAAGCAAAATGATCTGCTATAAAAGCAAACTATGTTCCCTTCCCTTCATGTACTGGAATTTATCCCAAAAGTTCTCCCCCAGGGTGAGTGATGGTTCAAAAGAATCTGACACCCCTGAAAGATCTCCATTACATGTCACCGAACTGAACTAATTCATTCATGAGCACAGCTCCTGGCTCCAGCATTTCACTCCTTCCTGTCTACATTTTTGCGCGATCTTTCAACTTTTTCTAAATGACTCTTTTTGTCCACTTCTTTTTAAATATGCTATAAAGCTATTGGATGTACCACCCTTACAAGATGTACTCTATACCAAGAGATATTTAGCAATTGAAATGGTTCAGTTAAAGTTCTTCATCACTCTAAAATGCCTAATTAAAAACCTTGTTACTCATAAGTGTTTGATACAAGGTTTATGAACATTTTTGTTTACAAACCTTGTATCAAACACGTATGAGTTGAATGAGCCATTAAATAGTATATTCAAATAATAACATGGAAATATCTATAATAATTGTTTTCAAATATCAATACTACTTTAAAATTATTTAATTTGCTAGATTCTTTTTAATAGAGTTGGTAAATTATTTAGTTCATTATTTAGTTTTCTGAAAGCATCTTTTCACTCTCTGTTAGTCATATCATTTCGTTTAGTCATCAATATGTTAATTTAGCTAAGGCCAAATTAACAAAAGTTTGGAATTAGTGACTAAGTTTTTTTTTTTTTAAATGAGATTCTACTATATATGTGAACCTATAAAAAACACAACTATATTAAATTGGGTTAAATTAATTTTGAAAAGGGTTTAAAGAAAAGTAACCCAAAGTGAAAGAGTAAGAATAAATAAAGTTTGTAAAAATTGTTTTTCAGCAAAGAAATTGTATATAGTTCTATGTTTTTGTTTTTTATTATCTTTGGTCACTTTAGTAGGAGAAAAAGAGATTGCTTGTTCTAAATAAAATAGAAATATCTTTCCTTATATTTTACCGCAAAGACTTTGATAGACCTTGGGTGAAGAAACATTCTTATTCTTCAAAATACTTGCTACACCTCAAGATGTCCTGTTCTAAAAATCCTGAGATTTGCCTTCTTTAAAAAGTGGCAATGACCTTGCTGAACTGTAAGCATTAGAGTTTGGAAGTCTTTAAGTACCTTTCATTTGTGTTGAATTAAGTCACATGTTTCATTAATTATACAGGTCATGCATTTGCCTAGTAGTTAAAATATTCACTTTCAAAATGAAATAAATGAAGACCAGCTGGTTGAGAGGACATGGGGCAAATGCAGGATGTATTTTAGAATTTATTTATTTATTTTCCTTTTAAGTCTTTGAATTCCTCATGTGTGGTGGCCTGCCATTTCCACATTTTACACTGGTTTCATGTCTTGCAGCAATAGTTTCAGAAGGGGGAAGAGTTGATTCAAACTTGGGTAGAAAAATAAAAACCTAGCAGTGTGCTCAAGTCCAGTTTCTACCCAATATTGATGGGTGTTATTTTCAGGGAAATTTTAAGTTTTCAAACTCATGAATAAAATATGACTGAATGATTAATTTAAATAAAAAGAACATGGTTATTTTTGTGGAATAAGTACAGAAGAAAAAAAAAGTGTTTGCATTTTCCTAAACCAGGGAAACACATCTGGGGACTCTGTCTCACCTTTTTGCGTGTGTGCCCGTTGGGTAATACCGGGAACAGGATATGCCATCCCAGGCACAGTAAGGGTCTCGCGCCAGGCAGCAGTCAGCACAAGCACTGCCATACAGGTCACACTGATGGAATCTGACTTGGGCCACAGCAGAAGCAGATCCAATATACAGCTGTTGCTATAGATTCAAAGAAGAGAGGTCACTATCAGAAATTAATGGATAGAACTCTCACTAAGCTCTTACACCTAGATTTTCAATTTATACACAATTACCTCCTTGAATATTCACTTAAATGACTGAAAATAGATAATGGAACATTGGTACTTTAATTTCTCCAAGATATGAAATATTGTTATAGACATGGATGCATAAGTAGTAAAAATTGCTAGAGTGATTTCAAAGTTTGCAAGAAGTTGACTGTTATATTATTATTGTCTAAGTAGAAAGACCTTTTCATCTCCTAACATTATAATTCTTTTAAAAAAGATTTATAGGAATGTTTTGTAAGAGATTAAATAAAAAAAATTGTCTATATTTTTTTAAAATTCTCACCTGAGGACATGCTTAGAGAGAAGAAGAGGGGAGAGGGAAATTATAGAGATAGAGATAGAGATAGAGAAATATTCATATAAGAAACAAACATTGAACCATTGCCTTCTGTAGGTAGGAAGGCAGGAATCAAATCACAACCCAGGTATGTGCCCTGACCAGGAATCAAAGTGGCAACCTTCAGTTCACAGGATGATGCTCAACCAACTGAGCCACTCTGTCTGGAGAACAATGGTAAATTTTTGCATTTAAAATATTTTGATGTTATTGACATGTGACATGACATTAGTTTCAGGTGTGCAATGTAATAATTTGATATATATATACATATATATTTCTAATTGATCACCACACAAGACTAGTTAATATCCCTCACCATACATAGGTACAAATTATTTATTCTTGTGATAAAAACTTGTAAGATCTACTCTCTTAGAAAGTATTCAATACATTATTAACTATAATTACCATGTTGTACATTATATCCCCAGGACTTAGGTATCTTATAACTGGAGGTTTGTACCTTTTGATCACTTTCACCCATTTTGCTCACCCCCCATCCCATGCCTGATGGCAACCATCAGTCTGTTCTCTGTACTTATAAGCTCTTTTTTTTTTTTAATTTCACATCTAAGTGAGTTCATATGGTATCCACGTCTTTCTCTGACTTATTTCACTTAGCATAATGCCCTCAAGAACCATTTATGCTATTAGAAATGGCAGGATTTTCTTCTTTTATGGCTGAACTATATTTCATTGTATATAGTGTATACCACATTTTTTATCCAGTCATCCCACGACGGACACTTGGCTGTTTCCATGTCTTGGCTATTGGAAATAATGCTGCAATGAACGGGGGGGGGGGGGGGGGGGTGTGCAAATATCTTTTTGAAATAGTGTTTTCCTTTTCTTCAGGTAAATATCCAGAAGTGGAATTACTGAAACATATGGTAACTCAATTTTTAGTTTTTTGAAGAACCTCCATACTTTTTCCTATAATGGCTTTCACCAATTTACATCCCTACCAGGAGTGTACATTGACATCTAACATTTAGAAGAGTGATGTAGATACACATAGAATGACATGGAATAAACTGTAAGATATGTTGAAAAGTAAAAAAGAACAAGTAGCAGAACAATTAACCTTGCATGTTCCCATTTGTCTAAGCATAAAATGTTATTTTACTAAAAGTTTTGAAAAATATATGCAATTATTTATGAGGAATTTATACCAGAAACCAGTATCAGTGAAATGGAATGGAGGGCTCAGATGGCGTGGCCTAGTGGTTGAGAATCAGCCTATAAACCAGGAGTTCATGGTTCCATTCCAGTAGGGTCTATAGCTGGGTTGCAGGCTCCATCCTCCCCATGGGACATGCAAGAGGCAACCCATCAATTATTTCCTCTCATCATTGGTGTTTCTATCTCTCTCTTCCTCTCCCTTCCTTTCTGAAATCGATAAAAATATATATTTTAGAAAATGGAAGGGGGGTTTGTGTTTCACTGCACAAACCTTCTATGTTACTATTATTTTTGGAAAAACATGAGCGAGAATTTATGGAATAATGTCATGTAATTGTAGATGTAAATCTATTCAAGTCTGCCTTTCTAAAAAGAAAAAATAAAACATATCACATATAAATCACTATACATTTTCTCTTAATAAAACTATAACTTGTCCAGATATAAGCACATGTTTAGATATAAGCTCTTGATCCTTTGACTTTAACTCATACATAGAACACACACACACAACTTACTCTCTTTGAAGAAATTTCCATAGAAATAATAGGAACTGGATCCTGAAAAATTAAAAAAAGTTTCCTTTTTCAGAAAGAAAATGTATGAGCATACCTTAATATGGTTATCAATCACCTAAAATCATATAATATGTGCGTAGTTCTATGCCAAGAAGTCTATAGCTTTCATTTTCATATATCAATAGACAAATACAATTATTAAAATACAGTTTTCTATTTAAAAACCTTTTATAAACTAGTGGGACAGATATGTAGCTGAGAAAAGTAGTGGATAATTTAAGCAGCTTACCATGTGTTCTGAAATGTACTTTTGGTATTTGCATTTGAATATTATTCATGCTTTGGAAACTCAAGTATCTTTAAATTAAACAATCAAGTCAGAGAGTTCTTTCTTATAAAAGTAGTTGAATCATTAAAAGTAAGACGGTTATTATGTCTTTGAATAAGTGTTATTGCGAATAAACAAAAAACATTAGCAAAAATTATGAAATAATGTCACGTAGTTGTAGATGTATACTTACTTTAATTGATTTATCCCAAGCCTAAACAAAACTCTTGGAGCTCTTGTAGTTAATAATAATGAACCCAGAATTCTCTGAACATGATGAGTAACCACACTGTTTTAGACTTGTACCAGAGAAAGTACAATCTAGAATGTAGCTTTGAGAGCCTATGTGTTATTCTAGAGGTGGTAAGTGTCTTTAAGGAATACCACAAAACTGATCAATTCTGCAAGTGGAGCAGCAATTGGCAGGTGTGTTTCACTCTGTGGGTGATTTCCCTCAGAAGAATTATTTTATGAAAGAGAACATTTCATGTGTCAGTTTAAAAAAATTACATTTTAAAGAATAGAATCCTAAATGCATGTATGCATGCATTCAGGCAACGATATTTCTTAAGGTTTAATATGAACAAGATACTGTTGTGGATGCTGCTAATATGGCCACTATGGTGTCTGATGTGAAATGAATTCTTACATAATAAACAGTAGCAAAGCTGAGCTGGTTGAAAGAGAAACATGTTTAGCCTTGGGTTTTGTTATAGGGAATCTAATCTCCAAGACAGCCAGGATGAAATGAGTTTATTTTTCATCAATAAACATATTTTGGTATATATTCATTACATGCATAGACAGCTAATCATTCTTCATTATTTATAGATTGTGTGTCTGCAAAGTTACCTACTTGCTGAGACTTATGTGTAACCTCAGTATCAGTGTGTGTGGTGTTTTGCAGTCATCTGGGGACATGTGCACACAGCGAGGCAAGAAGTCTGCGCTGCCCAACGCGCACAGTCCCAGCTGCTCCTCGGTTCAGCTCACACATTGTAAACAAGCGTCCTTTTCATGGTCTATTTGGTGCCACGTTTTTCACATTTTTGTGCTTTTTGTTGGTGATTTTGATGTTTAAAATGCCCCCTAAACACAGTGCCGAAGTGCTCCCTGGGGTTCCTAAGCTCAAAAAGGCTGTGTTGTGCCTTCTAGAGAAAATGCGTGTGTTAAATGGACATTCTTTAGGCAATAGTGCTATGGGCCACAGGCTCATTGCTAACTTATCAACAATATGTACGAAGTAAGATGGCAACAAAAATCGCACATTGTGTATTGGTCAGTTGACAAAAAGTTGTGACTGGTGACTCATGGGAACCTAATCTATATTTCCCTAGGAGCGATGATCAGTATTTACTCATTCAGTGTTCGCGGTCTCTTTAAAGAATATAACTGCCACAAATATTGAGACTTGACTGTGTTGTGTGTGTGGTGTCTGTGTGTGCATATATACACTTGTATTATCACGTGTAATTTCTCCATTACCAATCTGCATTTTTCCCTTTTTTAGTAAATTCTGTGTAAATGATATGCTATCATGATATGCTTATCACACCACAGTGTCCACAGTATAAAACCTACTTTTATGTTTTAGTTATCAGTTTTTATTGTACATTTGTACAAGATGAAACTTTACAATAATCATTCTGGAATTCATATGTGGTTTAAGTGTTATTTCTTTAAGTCACAGTTCATGCATTAAAATTCTTCTCATGTTAGGTAATTACTGGCCTCTTTATTTGAAGTCTTTGAAAATAAAATAGATGCACCAAGATTTTAAATCATTCCTTACTTCAAATCACTTCGATCCACAACATATTTGTTAGAAAAAAATTGACATAATGTCTTTTCTATTTACAACTCACTTGGAATTGTCTGCAATGGATAAATGTTGGCTGAATTATTTTTACTAAAAATACCTTGAATATCTGAAGTTCTTCTAGAATTACTTCTTCCATTGATTCTGTTTCCTGGTTGTAAATTGTGATTACTTTCAGCACAATTCCATTATCTGTATGGGGAAAAAAGGGAGAGAGAGGTAAACTAGAAGTTTTGTCACATCTGGTCTTCACACATTTCAAAACCATGTATGATGAAAGAAAATTTATTACCTGAACCTACATTTTTGGTAAGAAACTTTACTTTAAATCTTAGGGAACATGCTGAGACCGATTTGGCTCAGTGGATAAAGCGTCAGCCTGTGGACTGAGGGGTCCCAGGTTTGATTCTGGTCAAGGGCATAAGCCTTGGTTGCGGGCACATCCCCAGTGCGGGGGAAAGGGGTTTGCAGGAGGCAGCTGATCGATGATTCTCTTTCGTTGATGTTTCTAGCTCTCTATCTCTCTCCCTTCCTCTCTGTAAAAAAATCAATAAAATATATATTTTTAAAAATAAAAAAATCTTAGGGAACAACACACTATGGAGATACACACACACACACACACACACTTTTATTAGAAAAGTGTCAAGTACACACTATTGAGAGTGTAGTATAATGAGCCCTCCTACACTAACCATTTAGCTTCCATGATTATCAATAATTTTTTAAAATTTATATTCACATTTTAAATTGTAGCTTATTTTTATTATTCCTGATATTCTGCACTTGTTATTTACAATGAAAAATTCAATACTACACTCATTTGCCTGTAAAAATAATTTTGTGTATTGCTGGAAATAAATCAGAAAAAAAACCCCACTTTGGAATTATTGATCTAAGAATTTCTATGGTACTTAACACCTTGTTCAAAACTTATCAACTCATATTTAGGTTAATAATATTTGATTAAAATAAAACAAATAATAATTACCTGTATTGTATACTAAAGGAATACAAGTAATCATAAATTGTAAAGCCAAGCATACTCCATTAATATCCCACAATTATTACATCAAGCAAAAAACAAAGATGAAACTCAAATTATTAATTTGCCACTAGTGATTTTGCAATAAGGACTCTCTCTATAGATGGGTAAGTAGATAGAGAACAGTAAAGCATGTGCCTGGTAAATTTCTGGAGAAAATAACTATCATTTGTAGGCTTTTCCTCACACTTTCATTAAATATGTTCTTTTATGTTGAAAAGCTGTGGTACAATGTGATTATATCTTTGAGTTAAACGTGGTTTGCATGATAACATAAGTACATTCCTGATATTTCTGAAATTCTTTCAAATAGCTTTGGTTAATCTAACAAGAAAATATTTATAAAAATGTTCTTGGACTACTTTCCAGGACATTTAAAAATAACATACTTTTTTCCATGATTAATTTTATCAAATATAATCTTGCTTATAGAACTCTTTCTCTCTCCCTCTCGCTCCCTCTCTCCTTCTCTCTTTTCCTTCCTTCCTTCCTTCCTTCCTTCCTTCCTTCCTTCCTTCCTTCCTTCCTTCCTTCCTTCTTTTCCTTCCTTCCTTCCTTCCTTCCTTCCTTCTTTTCCTTCCTTCCTTCCTTCCTTCCTTCCTTCTTTTCCTTCCTTCCTTCCTTCCTTCCTTCCTTCCTTCCTTCCTTCCTTCCTTCCTTCTTTTCCTTCCTTCCTTCCTTCCTTCCTTCCTTCCTTCCTTCCTTCCTTCCTTCCTTCCTTCCTTCCTTCCTTTTTTCCTTCCTTCCTTCCTTCCTTCCTTCCTTCCTTCCTTCCTTCCTTCCTTCCTTCCTTCCTTCCTTCCTTCCTTTCTTCCTTCCTTTCTCTCTTTCTCTCTTTCCCTCTTTCTTTCTTATTTTACTCTGTTGGATGTCATTATGATTGAATTAATGGCCAGGTAACTTTGACTTTGTTAAAGAAACCTGATGCTTTGTTAATCTTGACCCCACTATGTAGAGCATAAGTATTAACATTAATCTCCTAAAATAAATAGATAAAACACAGCCATCACCAGAGATCCACTTGTGGAAATTAGATGAATGTTTCTTTACTTAAACGTTTGCCTTTTTTAAAGAATATGACTGCAAAAGCTCAAGTACCAATATTCATAACAGATCCCAGTTCCTGATCTGGTCATATGCAATGTCTCTTTAACATGATATGTCTAAAGTCATGTAGGTAGAATGCTTACTCTTCTAAATAGCAACTGCATAGCAGTTACAATGATGAGTGTGAAAAAAGAATCGATCATCTAAGAAGCTTTTTAAATGACTATAGAATTTTAAAGTACTTGACAGAATTTGCTACATCTTACTCTGGGTGCTAAAAGGTTCCAAGTTCTCTTTCACAAGACTAGATCTAATGCAATTAATTGTAATTAATTACAATTTTAAATTTACTTGAAATTTTACGCTTAGCATTTTTGTTAGAGCTTATTTTATTAATGCAGAAAATTATAGCTTTGGTCTAAAAGTTTACCTCCATTATGAGTAACACTTGGCCTGTTTGGTACAGTTGGTTGATTCTGATAGGGCCTGATACACATTGCTATGAGAATAGGTTTAGGGGAAAGGATTGTCCCAAATGTTTAAAAAATCTTGAGATATTACCGAGCAGCCAGAGTTGGCAACATACCTGAGAAATGACAAGAGAACCACCCACATACAGCCCTTACTTCCTCCATGACAAGTTCTATTTGGAACCAGCACTATTTACTAACACAGGTTATTTGTTCCTTCACGTGTTCATTTGTTTAAATGTATTAAGTATTGACTATGTATCACAAATTACGTGCTGTAACTGCTCCAGATCCTCTCTTCCATTGCAGCAAATAAGCAGTGTGTAATAGGCTAATGAATCAAAAGAAGTTTTTTTTTTAATAGGTAGTTTAAAAATTAATAATGTTTCCATGGGTTATGAATGCATATAAGTTCTTTGGTTAATCTCTTCTCACCCCCCTTTCCTTCTGAGATTCAGTGTGGGGGTGGGGGGCAGGGACATCTGTAATACTCTCCACAATAAAGGTAAACTTAAAAATATTAATAATGTTATTGATTATCTCTGACTTTCTAATCTCTTTACCTGTCCCAATAAACAAGACATCATATTGGCCATCCTCCGCTTCTACTTGATCCACTGCTATTTGTTTCAGGTTATATTTTCCGTCTGTTTTCACCAGTATTGGCTTTTTATGGGCAGGTTTTATGGGCTGGTACATAAGTGGATGGCTTCTTGCAAATCGGATAGCATCATCAGGATAGTCTTTCGTGGTTCCGTACCTCCCTCCATTCACTTTGCTGGCACACTAAAATACAAGTGGATGCGGTTATTTTTTCAGTCTTAAACGTAAGGAGCAAATTTAAAATAAATTTATGAAAAGAATTAGAAAAACTGTATATGCTTGATTAACTGCATTTAGAAGCATTTAGTAAGGATATATTCTTCATCACAGAAATGAAATCTATGTTAAAAATTGCAAGGAGGTTCTGAATTATTTTAAATATACAAACTAGAAATACACAGAGAGTAGTGAATCCTGGAAAAGTAAAGTATATTTAATCCTGGTATAGTTTGAAGGTGATAAAATGTATAACATCATAAATATTGTAATTATTTCCCCTGTTTTCTGAAATTAATTTTTTTCACTGTGCAAATTAAAATTTGAAGGTAATGTATTGCTCAGAGCAAAGCAAAAAAGCCTCTTTGCTGTGCTAAATCTTCTCCCCAAATTAAGGATCACAACAGTACAAAATAGCTTTCCTATTCTGGAGACTATGATGATATGATTGGTGATGGCTCCAATTGGCTCACAGACTACAGAATTTAGTGGTGTAACCCAGAAACCTATTTAAATTCCATGATAATTGATTAAGAAAAACCCCTCTCTGTTCTCCTATAATCTGTATGAATTTGTATTATTTTGAATGGATTAGACAGAATAAATTGAGGAAGCCAGAAATATTTGCTAACACATGTCTCAGTTCCTTAATCACTGCCTCTAAAAATAAACGAACAGCACCTTCGGTACTTCTTGGAATACCTTTAGCTGTTGAAGCATGCTTGTCATTAAGTGCTCCTTCATTTTGCATATTTTCCTCTAGAATCAGCAGCAATTGCAATGATTACCTTGATAAAAATTTTCCATTTTAGAGTATAAATACAGTAGTTTAGTAATCAGATTCTGCAAAGAGGGCATTTCTAACTGTTTGCTTTAAAAAATTGAGGCCACATTTCTTAATTTTGCCTGGATTTTTCACTTGAGTGTACTTTCATGATAAATAATTGGAAACATTTTGGACCAGCCTGGAAGCGATTCAGTAACCAGTCACTTCCTCCAAATCCCCTTTAATACCATGTGGTTGCAAGAAGCTTTTCCAGCAAAGCCACAGGAGTGGGTTTTCTCCATTTAAATTGTAATTTCAATCAGTAGAGTGAAATAAAATATAGTTTATATCTTACTGGAAGCCATAATTTTAAGCTAGTGAGAGGGAGTGATTGAAATGGCAAAGCCTTACACTTGTTAATGGAGGTAAGGTTTGTTTCCACTTTGGACTTTGGCCCTGCAGAGAGATTTCTACTCCACTTGCAAGTACTTGTGGGATCAGCACAGTGACGGCTTTTCACCAGCTGCTTCTAAAGGAGCAGACTTTGACTCGCTGACAAATTAAGTGTTCTGCATGGCTCACATAGCACGTAAAACGATCATACATTTGCCCATCCTAGTTGCACACGGGATGCTTGATACAAAATTATCCTCCTCATCATCACCATCACCGTGGCCATCATCGCCTTTAGATTTGTGTACAATTAAAAACACACAAGTTTGAATGGCTGGTGAGTGGGAATCTTGGTGGCGCCGGTTCAGAGGCAGGCAGTGGAACTTCCTGTCCCCTACACCACTTTGCATGGACACTTTTTGTCTAGGAGCCAGCAAGAATGGTTAATGAGAAGCTGCGGGTCCTGCAGGGGCAGAGAAAAAGCTACATTTGGATAAGCTAACATGAGAATCCAGGAGAACGTTTGGCCTGGGGAAATTTAGAACCCAAATGCTAGAATACAAAAATGTCTCCTGCTTGGAAATGACATGTGGCACTAATTCTTCTGAAGAGGCTGGGAGGAATACGATGCTCCTTTGATGGAATGTTTCTGTGTTCGCCAGTACCCTTGAAAACAAAATGTTAGTTGGGGTTCCTTAGCCAAAATGTCAGTGATAATACATGGTTCATCATCCTGCTAATAAGGTGTGCCCATCACAGATTCTTTCCTTTAAATAACGAGGACACAACTAGAAATAAGAAGTGATTTTTCTTTGCCATTAAAGTGGTGAGATGTAATTTAGGTGTAGGATTTAACTGTGCAATGCAAAGTTTTGTAAAGCATCTGAAACAGTGAACAAAATATTATTAAAAGCCTTTGAAAAATAAGAATACTTCATTAAATGCTAAAACTTACAGAGCCAGGCCTTGGATAAGGAACTTTCCCTTCATAGAGTGACCAGTGGTATTCAGGTCCTTCCTTATGTGCATATGGTCCGTTAAAAGCTGCCCGGATGCTAGACATATGATAGACACATATAGCATGTCCTCGAAATATATTACTGAAAAAAAAAAAAGTGATTACTCTTGTGCAACTGACTAGGAGTTCACCTAGTCAAACCCTTTAGACTACATAGATAAGAATGAAATCTTTTGGGTAAAAAAAAGTCAATCACTTAAGCATAGAATATTCTAGAAATATTTACTATTGCATTATTTCAAGTATTAAATCTCCAAAACTTAATGTTTCTATGCTTATTTTTATAATAAATTGAAAATGATGTTGTTAGAATCATAAAAGTACATAGTTGTATCACTTGAACAATTTATTATTAAATTTTATATTTTTTTTTATCATTTTTATTAAGAAAGATAATTTTTATTTTAATATTTAAAAGATTAATATTTTAAAGTTAATATTTTACAAGATTCATGCCCAAGTTGAATTATTAATTTTAAGGTTTTATGTCCTTGTATGTGATCCCATATTCCAAAACAATGCCAGAGTAGAAAGATGATTAGATTAAACTAATATATAGAAAGTTATTTAAATTATATAGAGCTCAGATTCTTTACCTTCAAAACTAGAAGCAATTGAAATTATTTTTTAGATACAAATTTCTACTTGCAAAGCATAATGATAGCATTTGACTAACTATGACAAGTTTTACTGGGGGCACACATAATAAAATTCAACAAAAGTACATTTTTAAATGATGTGCTTTAAAAATCTGGCCCTTTTCTTCATTTGCATGACCTGCATAAATTCTCACATTTCCACATTATGAGAATCAAAATAATGTTTGTGAAAGTTCTTTGCAAGATGCAAAGTTCTTTATAAGTAGGAAAGTTCCTACACCCTGAGACACCTGTAGAACAGCAGTTGTGTTACTGTCTTAGGACATCAATTCACACGTTTTATAACACACCTTGAAGCAATTGGAACTGCCTATGATAGTGAGAAAAACAGAGATAGTCTCTCAACTCATGTGGCAATAAACCTTTGATCACCATGCTACGAATATCAACCCTTACCTTAGGTAACAGCTGGGAAATCATTTTCTTTGATTTATGTATATATTGAACAGTCAACATTGAAATTATGGAAGAAAATAATGTTTTATCTTTGAAATCTAGATAGATCCATGATGCTATCATTTAGGAAAGTAGCTTACAAACTGATCATACTACATCATAGAAAACTATAGTGATTATTCTATAGCTTGTATTTATCATATAAAGCCATGAAATTATTATGCAATGCATAAATTCTGCACTAGCCTAAGGGAGAGGATGAAGTTTTAAAAAATTAGGAATTTTCTATGGACTCTGATAGCTACCAATCTATATTAACCACTTTTCCTTGCATCAAGTACAATTGATAGCAAAATTGTTTCCATATTTTTCTGTTGAAGAAAAGGTCTCCTTACAACAGCAGGAAAGTTGTCCAAAGAGCTTTAGTATTTTTTCAAAGTGAGCATATAAAATCACCTGCTAAAAGCTTAACAAAAGCTTTGTGGAGATACACTAAGCAAATAAGTTAAATATGATTAGATCTCATTTTAAGGCAAATGCAATGCCCCCCCCCCCAAAAAAAAAAAAGAAACTCTATGTTATATCATCTGATATCTTTCTGGAAAATTGATGTGTATTCTTTATTTCTCATTCTAGTCATCTTACCTTCATTCTGCCTTATTTGGAAAGACACTTGGAAAATTATATATGAACTTTCAACCAAACTGATTCTAATAATATTTTTTCATGCATATATCAGCATGCATGAACAACCATTTGATTCATTTTCCCAGAACTCTTCAAGACATACAAAAAGTAAAAACAAAAAAGAAAAAAAATAGATTATAAGCCCTAAACATTAGCAGCTTATTTAAATTTAAAATATAAAAGGCAAATTTCAAACATGTGTTCTCTGTGACTCAACATAGAAGTAGGATAACCAGAGTTAAGGGTGAATAAAGTGCTTTTGATTAAGAAAGGACTATTTCTTTAAAGAAATGTTTTTATTGATTTTAAAGAGATTTAGAGAGAGAGAAAGAAAAAAAACAACTTTTAAGTGAGAGAGAAACATTAATTTGCTATCTCTTGCCTGCCCCTATTGAGGATCAAACCAACAACTCGCACATGTGTCCTGACTAGGAATCAAACCAGTGACCTTTTGGTGCATGGGACAAAGCTTAACCAACTGAGCCATACCAGCCAGGGCACAAAGATGCTTTCTTGAAGAGGAAAATTGACAAGGGTTGAAAGAGAAAGTTGTTTGAATCAAGAGAAGTGGATAAATAAAACCCTATTATGGGAATTAATAAATTAGACACTGGAATTCTGTCAAAGTAGTATCAGAGAGCTTGGAGGAAAGAGTTCCAAAGCTGAGTGACAGTTGATAGCTTTGAAAGCCTGACATGGAAAAATTTATATGATAATTAAAAGAACTATCCTATTTGTTTCCTTGCAATTGGAGTCAAATTCACAAAGAAGTCAGACAGAAAAAGACAAAAACCATATGAGGTCACTCATCTACACTAATAAAAGGGTAATATGCTAATTAGACTGGGAGACCTTTCGGATGTCCTTCTGGACAAAGCCATGGTGACAGGGCCAAGGCAGAGGTGGTTAGGGGCAATCAGGCCAGGAGGGGAGGGCAGGTGGGGGCAAGTAAGCTGGCAGGGGGAGCCTGTTGGGGGCAAAAAGGCTGGCAGGAGGGCAGTTGGGTGGAGAGCAGATCAGCATGGGGGACAGTTGGGGGAGAGCAGGCCAGAAAGGTGTGGGGCAGTTGGGGGTAAGAAGGCGGGCTAGGGAGCAATTGGGGTTAAGCAGGCTGACAGGCAGAGTGGTTAGGTGCAATCAGGCAAGCAGGCAGGTGAGTGGTTAAAAGCCAGTGCTCCCAGATTGCGAGTGCGATGTCCGATTGCCGATTTAGACTCTATCCCACCACAGTTGGACATCCCCCAAGGGGTCCCAGATTGGAGAGGTTACAGGCTTGGCTAAGGAACACCCTTCCCCATGCATAAATTTCGTGTACTGAGCCACTAGTGTGGAATATAAAACAAAAAGAAACAAATGAACAAACACAATGAAAACAAACTCATAGATACAGATAATCGATTGGTGGATACCAGAGGGGAAAGGGTAGAGGAGGGCAAACTGAGTAAAGGGGGTCAAATATATGGTGCTGGATAAAAGTTAGACTTTTGGTATTGAGCACATTGTAATGCAGTACATATATTGATTTATAATGGGGCATATTGGAAACTTACATTATTAAACAATGATACCTCAATAAAAATGTATCCTAGACTCCATAGCATGGAATTTGTATCTTATCAACTATGTGAGGAAAACACCTTGCTGTGGATCAGAGAGAGAAACAATTAGGACTGTGCATACTTCAAACAAAAACAGGTAAGGATCTGCCCTGGCTGATTTGGCTCAGTGGATAAAGGGTCGATTTGTGAACTAAAGGGCCCTGGGTTTGGTTGCAGGCTTCTCACTGGCCTGGGCTCTGGTCAGGGCTTGTGCAGGAGACAACCAATAGATGTGTTTCTCTTACATTGATATTTCTCTCTGTCTTTCCCTCTCTCTCCCAATTCTCTCTAAAAACAAAAACAAAAACAAAAAAAACAATGGAAAAATATCCTCAGGTGAGGATTAAAAGCAAAAACAAATAAGGATCGGGATTGAGAGTGGCTTTAAAAATAAAGAACAATTGTAACCATAGGATGACAAAGAGAAATGAGAAGAACAACAAGTCTTTTGTATTTCCAAGTAAGATACACAGCAAAGAGGAAAATTTTGTTTCATAATGCTTTTTATTGACCATACAGATTTCTCACCTGGTAGTGTTGAAGAGTCCAAATATCAGTGGGTTCTTATGATCTCTGGTATGCAGCAGAAAAACGTCCTCTGAAAAATTGAAGATCATTACATTACTTAGTATTTTTAGTCCCCTATGCATGTGAAGAAAATCATTATAGATTGTATGATATGAATTTCCATGGACAACCACACAACAATGACCAAAGCACAGCAGAGTGAAGCACTTGGCTGTTCCGCATGATTTTGAGCTTCAAGGAAAGACTAAGCGGCACTACCTCTAAGCTAATGAGAGAGTCCCTCTTTGGTCCTGTGACTCTGTAGAGCTGGCCAAAATGAAAATAACAGAAACGTGCCCCTAGGTGGTTTTCTCAGTGGTTAGAGTATCGGCCTTTAGACCAAAGGGTCACGGGTTTGATTCCCAGACAAGGGCATAAACCTCAGTTGCAGGCTCAATCCCTGGCCTGGGTCAGGGTCAGGGCACGTGTGGAAGGCAACCGACTGAAGTATTTCTCTCATCTCTCTCACATTGGTGTTTCTCTCTCCCTCCCTCCTCCCTTCCTTCTACTCTCTCTAAAAATCTATGGAAACATATCCTCAGGTGAAGATTAAAAATAATAACAGAAAGTTGCTCTCAGATAGAAGTCAAACACTTCAGGCTTTTCATCTGTGCTAGTGACAGTGAGGGTTATAGAGAGGCACATACGTCAATGAGTTAAATTTAATTCTCCCAATATTTACCTAGTTCATCAAAATATGTATCAATTCCATTCAGTCCTGGTACTGAGCAAACCAGTCTCGCTTTTAGGAAAGTGCTCCACTTATTCACCAGTATCCTCTGGCCTCCCACATCATTCTGTGAAAAAAAGCAAATGAGCAGGTAAGTGGGTACCTAAAGAGCTTTTAGCAACACCAGATTTTGCATTATTAAACAAACATGTAGATTTTTCCTTTCTGTGGAAAATTTAGCATAAACTTCAACTAACAGATGCAATTCCCCATAAAACTTTTTTTTTTTTTTTTAGGTTTGCACATTTTACCTGGTTAGTGTAGTTTCACTCTGATCCTTTAAATATATTTTATAAGTATCAAAAGATGTTAATAGAGTGATCTCTTCTAAATAAGGTAGTGACTTTTATATATAGTAATCTTTATTATTTTATTGAGAAATGAACTTATAAATATAGAAACATACATTCCTTTCTCTCCTTTAAGATTGAGAACTTCAAATATACACACATAAACACAAACACATAATATATAATATACTGTATATTTGTACACAACATACATCATATGTATACAGTGACATATATACAAACCTCTTCTTAAATATACTCATTAAATATTTTCTTAAATATCAGAGTACCTTCACATGTGCAATATTATTAGCATCGTCTCAATAATATTGCTACTTCAATTGGTTTTAATGTTCTCAATCTTTTTGAATACCCAACAAACTACAGATATTTTTTCTACAGAATCAACCAACTGCATGGTTGAAACATACTTATGTAAATTGCTTAGAATGTAGACTAAGAAAATTAAAAATACTTTGCTTAAATTATTTTTTTTTTAAATGGAGCTCAAACTTCCATGAGGGAAGTAGTACAGCTTAATTACGGACTATTTCTTTAGTATGGCTTTGAAAATGGGGAAATTATACAAAATGCAAAGCTCTCCTAAGAGAACACTTTCACTATGAAAATTAAAGATTAGATTGTAAATATAAATGTTAGGCAGCCCACAGAATAGTGCAAAACATTATAGAGACCTGCTATCACATTGACAAAGCCCTGACCACAAACTGAAAAGAGCAGGCTTAATGAGAGAGATGCAGCTCGCACCATGCACAGCCGCCCCACTCGGGTGTAGATGGCATGGGCGTTGTTTTCCGCCTCCAGGGCCTTCTCAGTAAAAAAGAAATACACTTTGTTGTCATCTCGATCTTCATTGTCAGGAATCATATATGAACCTACAAATTTGGGTTCTACAGAAGGAAAAAAATAAAAGAAAATTGAAATCATTATTACAGCTACATAAGTTAATCAATTACATATCACACGAAAGCTTTACCTTTCATTATTTATGAAGAAATAAAATATTTCCTTGAAATGTATATTAAACACTAAAAATCATGTAGATATCTCCATTTTATTTACAACAAACAATAGTGTGTGTTTTTTTTAATTAGAGGACAATTTAATTGGAAAATAAAAGAGTCAAGGTGAAAAAAAAATTTGAACACCATACACGATAGACTTAAAATGCATTCAAAGGATAGAGTGGCAGCACCATTGATGGTAACCTTCAGACATAATTTCTTCCCAGACATATAAAAAAGTGAATGTAAGTATGTGTAAAATATTTTAGTGAATAAGTAGTTTTTTAAATTCATAAACTATATAGTAGTCTAGTTCATGGAAAAACCATATATTAATGCTAAGATAGACATTTTGAGTTTTTGTGTTTGTGGTCTAAAAGATGTTAGTGAATTGCCCAGCTGGCGTGATTCAGTGATTGAGCATAAATCTATGAACCAGGAGTTCACCGTTCAATTCCCAGTCAGAGCACATGCCCAGGTTGTGGGTTTGATCCCCAGTGCAGGAGGTAGCTGATCAATGATTTCCTCTTATTGTTGATGTTTCTATCTCTTTCTCCCTCTCCCATCCTCTCTGAAATAAATGAAATAAATAAATAAAAATATAAAAATAAAAGATGTGAGTGAACTTTGATTGACATACTAGGTAGGTCAAATATTTTAATAATAAAATGGTGCCAATAATGCTATGCACTTTAAACCTTAATAAAAAGGCTGGAATCAATGAAAATGCTCACCATAAAATGACATTTTAATCCCTTGGTGTACCAGTGTGACAAAATATTTCTTACAAATAATTCTGGGAGAATGAATGGCTAGTGCTTTCCCTAATGTTTTGTTTCTCTCTAAAGTGCAATGTAATCTATTAATAGTTACAAAAAGCAAAGCAATCAAGTAATCCAAAATAATACCAATTGATAAAACAACTTATTGGGTAAAAGGGTTTACTTTTCATATATTTGCTTTGTTTTCTCCATTTCAACACTGATTTCTAAACACTGTTATAAATGTAATTCAGATTTATAGTATTGGCAAATAAATTTATGTGAAACAATTTACACATATCATATATAATATTTTAATTCACAAATACCACTAATTTAAAAAATCCTAAAAATCTATAAATTACATTTGGAGTTATTTTCATCACAATGGCAAATTCCCCATGAGTTTTGGACTTATGTTCAACTAGGTGTCTGGTGCACAAAATTCATGCATTGGGGGAGGAAGGGTGTCCCTCAACCCATCCTGCACCCTCTCCAACCTGGAAGCCCTCAGGGGATGTCCTACTGATGGCTTAGGCCCATTCCCCATGGTTCTCTGCTCTCTGAGGACCTGCCTGCTTGATATCATCACAGGCCCTAGTGTCTACTCTCTATGGGGGCCTGCTTGCTCTTCGCCACCAGTGCCAGGGGCAATCAGAGCCCTGCTGTCTGCTCTCTGGCTCGCCACCACAGTGGCAAGCAGGGCCCAGGTATCTGCTCTCTGTGGGGTCCCTGCAGGGGACTACTTGCCTCCCGCTGCCACTGCCAGAGGCAAGCAGTGTCCTGCTATCTCCTCATTGCAGTCTGCTGTCTGCTCACTCACTGTGGGGGAGATTCCCGCCCTGCCCCCAGCTACTCGGTGCCTGTGCACATAGGCCTCGAGTGTCCAGGGGCGTTCCAGAAGCCTGGCCTCTCTGGGCCTATGCAAGGGCCTACAGGCTCAGAGTGACCTGGCTCCCGAGGACGCCCATTCCCACGACCCAGACCACTTGTTGCCTGTGTATGCAAATTAACCCAACATATATGTTAACCCACCGTATTTGTTGGGTTAATTGGCATACTTGCTCCTGATTGGCTGGTGGGCCTTGCGAAGTGACAGTCAATTTGCATCTTTCTCTCTTATTAGTGTGTATTCTGATTGACCTACTCTTTTCTCCTCAAACCTACCTTTCAACAGGCGCTCATCATCATGCTCCGTGCGGATGTGGGCCAGCCGCCCCATGCTCCGGAAGATGGCAGCGTCTCGGCCCCAGTAGTCGCTGTAGAGGCCAGCAAACAGCTCACTGCCTACCAGAAAGACCGGCGGAAAAGGAGTCAGTGCCTGTCTCCGGATCCCAGGGCTGTGTGTAAGCCACAATTACATTAAACTCATTAGGTTTACTATGGACACAGCCTTATGAAATTGCTATTGTTAAGGGCATGCATGCCATAGTCAGTCTGTCAGTTTCCATCTTGATTCCGCCACTTACCAGCTGTGTGAGCTTGGGTAAGTTGTCTACCTCTCAGTTTCCTCATTTATAAATGGAAATAACACTGAAAAGGGTTAAAAGTAAAGAACTTAAAAGAGTAACTGGCACATGCTAAGACCTGCATGAGCATTGCATAAATATCCTGGTTTGATCTTATTTTACTATACTTCTTTTAACTTTGTATCACCATGTTATTATACTATTATTATTATTGTTTATTATTATTATTATTATTATTATTGGTAGTATATGTGAGTCAGCTAACTCAAATCCATTTTTAACAAGAAATTGTCTCCATCCACATAATTTTAATGTGAAAACTGCAAAGTCTGACAAAGTTGTTGAGGGTTCGATTCCCAGTCATGAGCTCCAGTACCTGGATCTCAGGTTAGATTCCTAACCCCACTTGCAGCACCTGCAGAAGGTAAACAATCCATATGTTTCTCTCACACCTCTTTCTCTCTCTCTCTCTCTCTCTCTCTCTCTCTCTCTCTCTCTCTCTCTCTCATTCTCCCTCTCTCTTCTCCAACCTTCCTCCCCCCTTTCCACTCTCCCTAAAAATCAATGAAAAAATATCCTTGGGTAAGGATTAACAACACTAACAAAAACAACAACAACAAAAAGAAAAACCCCAACTCGCTTATTTAAACATGTTTTTTGGCAATAGAATGGGGAAGCAAGCAACATAATTTATGTCGAAGTAGCTAGTGCTGTCTTCACCAGAAATTTTAAATCCAAAAGTGCAGAGAAAGTATTTAGAGGTAAAATGCATTCAGTGGTGAGGGATAGGAAGCATACATGGGATTCTGCACTCCGTGAACGTGGATAAGAGTCATGCGGAATTCATTAAAAGGCCTTGCGGACCATCATCTTTGTGGCATTAATGAATGAGTTGACCATGAAAGAGTTCACTATGGAACCTCCAGAGTGAGAATTTTTTTTTTATGTAGCTTGTTTCTTATTATTATACTTGATTACATTTCTCATCCAAAAATAAAAAGGCCATTTTCTAAAATTTTCCTAAATGTCATTTATTTTTCTAATATGGACTGGGCTGAATGTTTAATGTATAAGGAAAACAAGCTTTATTAAAAATCCTGAGTTTTCTATTTTGTAAGTTTTAAATATTTGATTTAATTTCCTAAAATATTCCTAGAACTTTAATACCTGAAGTTGTTGTTGTTATGGGATTCTAATTTTCATATTAGTTCAAGTCAATTTTATTGTACTCAACTCAATTTCGGACATTGTTTCAAAGTTCTACTTTGAAAAAAAATTAAGTAAATTCAACAAAGTTCACAAACAAGTACCTCTTAGAGCCACTAGATGGCAACCCTATGATACCAAATAATACTATATTCAGGGCAGGTTTTCTGCACTAAGGAATAAAAGATGATATATTACCACTTTTACCCAATTTCCCTTTTTGGTATTCAGATAAAGAAAATAGTTTGTGAATAACTTGAATAACACAATATGAACTGTATGACTTAAACTTCAAAGAGGTTATACAGGTGCTCAAATCTATACCCTGTATAAACTGAACCAAATGTGTTTCTACCAGAAATATTAGATTTTCCTTAGAAGTAAAAGATTCTCCTTTTGTATCTTATTATCAATGTGGAGAACAAAATAAATCCATAGTAATAGATGATAATGATATTTGGTCAAATACTCTTCTAAGAAAAAATAAGCACTCTAATGAAAAATAATAAATTAGAATTAAGGTTTAGGCACAAATGTTACCTAATAGTAATTAAATGAGCAAAAGTACTCACTATCATAATTAATACTATATATAATAAATATATTATCTCCAGTTGAAAACTTTACAACTATAACAATTTGGTATAATTTAGAGAAAATCTGTGAATCAATATGTAGGTATTTTAATGAGAGCAAAAGTAACATCTGGTTCAATTACATTTTCATGAATTAAAAAGAAAGTAAAGCCATCTAAATAGTAAAACAGATTTTAGAGTTTCAATAATAATATCAAAACTACCCAAGTGTTTGGTGTCCCGTGTCTATAAAGACATTATATTTAATAACTATTAGCTTAACCCAAAAACTGGTATACAATCTATTTTGATACTCTGAATATATATAAGCACTTGATTTTTTATGCCATATATTATTTTTCCATTGTTAGAGTATGAGCTTCTGTTGGCAACTGATGTTTTGTTGATTTTAGGTGCTCAGGTGTGGTTATAATTAAAAAATAAGACACATCTGCAGGGTATTTTGACAGGTGAATGTCACTTATCATTGTCATGCTCAACAATGGTCTCTATGTACAGATACAAGAAACCTGGCACACTAAGACTCCAGCTCAAAATCTGCTGTTTGACCCTGGCAACACCATTCAATGTCTGATGGCCTCAGTATCTGTCGGAAGACAGAGATCTACTTGTGATTTTTTAAGCCTGCTAAGCTTTTATGGTCTCTCTGCTGCAACCTTCCTCCCCCATTTTTGTTTTGTGTTGTTGGTTTTTTTGCCTGAAATTCTTCACTTCCTTTCCCACTTCTCCTCCCATTTACCTGGCTATTGTCTACTTTCCTTTATCCTTCTAAGACCAAACTTTTGTTACTATCATCTCAGCTTAGTATCATCATAGCTCTATGTCTATTTCCATCATATTGCTTTCTGATTATATTTTACTTAACTCCTTATACGTTTGACATTATGCCTCACTAGGATGCAGACTTCTTGATATGTCTTATATATTCTTTTGTCCCCAGTACCTTGCACTGTGTCTGGAATATAGAAAATACTCTATAAACATTTTTCGAATCAGTGAATGGCATAATCCTATATAATAAAAGCCTAATATGCTAAATGTTCGACCTTTTGTTCCACCATCTGACCAGTCACTATGATGTGCACTGATCTCTAGAGGGCAGATGCTATGACTGATAGGTTAGCTTGCTGCTAGGGTCCAGCCAATAGGAACTGGGTGAGACTGGCTGGACACTCCCTGGAGCCCATACTGCAGTCCCTCCCCAGCTTCTAAAATATTTATTCTAGATAATTTACTTTCAATGTACATGAATCCATGCATCGGGCCTCTAGTGAATTAATAAATGAATATATCCATTGCCGGGACCGGTTTGGCTCAGTGGATAGAGCGTTGGCTTGGGGACTGAAGGGTCCCGGGTTCGATTCCGGTCAAGGGCATGTACCTTGGTTGCGGGCATATCCCCAGTAGGGGGTGTGCAAGAGGCAGCTGATCGATGACTCTTTCTCATCGATGTTTCTAACTCTGTATCTCTCTCCCTTCCTCTCTGTACAAAATCAATAAAATATATTTTAAAAAAAAAATGAATATATCCAAACCTCTTTAAGTGTTTAAATAAGGAAAGCCATGAAATACAATAAGAAAAACTCAGGATAACATTCTGATTTTTCAAAACTGCTTTAGGGGGAAATATCAAAAGAAAAAACTATTAGGTATTTGTATGAGTTTTTCCTTGAATTTTTGCTCCTCAAGAGGCTTTGTTATTTAATTAGTTTAATTCATGAATATAAGGATTCTATTTTCTCCTGTTATTTGTTCCCAATACTTTTAGCTTCCAAAAAACTGTGTCTACACTAAATTGTCTATATGAAAAAATGATAGTTATTGACTCCTGGCAATATATAGAAACAATTCCACTGTATATAATTATAAGTTGAAATGCATAATTAAAATACTTTTGTATATAATACTTTTCTTAGAATACAAACTCTATTTGAAGTTTTAGTTAAGAGTACTGCATTGCCTTAATATTTTATGGAACTTTCCATTTGCTTTGTTGATGGGCTTTTTAATCAGCCAACTGGAGACTTTATTCACCATATTGAAAATAGTGACCTCAACTGTTTAATGAGAAAAATTCACAGTAGTTTCTCAGGTCCTTCTTATCTTTTTATGGTTTACTTAAGCATTTCTTCTATTTATGCTGTAAATGTCTCCAAATCTAATGTGAACTACATTTGCCTCATGGAAAGCACACGATTAAAGTCTGATTTAACTGCCTCATTTTATAACCGAACTGTATAATTTTGTTAGAAAATTATTCTACTTTAGATGCACTCTTTGGCAGAATGACCATGACATGCATAACTACAAACAGAAACAAAGCACACTGGGGAAGATAAATACGGGTAAAAATGATCCACATAATCCATCATCCCAGTCCCCTCTCAATATTGCTTAGAATTATGAAAGAAATGGGAAGGAATGTATTGTGTTTTACTTTTAGTGGTATAGTTGCTGTTTGGGCTTTTGTTTGCCTTGTTTTGGCAGATCACCAGCATGAGCTATCAATGTTTAGAAGGTGGTTCCTGAGGCCTGAATGAAAAAGGAAAATGTTCATTGGCATCTGCTAGCACCCAAGGCAGTGCCCTGAGATTTCTTGGTGGCAAACTGGTGAGATTGATAGTGATATGGTCAAACGAGATTCCTAAGGGAGAGAATGTGTAGAAATTAAAGGGTCGAACTTCCTTTCTTCTAACTTTTTATTTTGTTTTGAAGAAACCTTAAGCAAAGTGTTCAAATAGTTCCTTGGGGACTAACAGTTATGGCCAGAAGCAACAATACCCATGTGGTTAACTGGCATTCTGCCAAATCTGAGAGCAGCAGTCTGTGATAAGAAATTACAGATATTCTTTAGGGATAGAAACATGGTAAGGGAGTAACTTTAAGTCTAAGTTTCTATAAAGTTGCAATGAATTCAAGACACAAGCCAGCATGTTCACTTGTTACAATTGTAGAGGTTGTAATTATAAAGACATATTTTACCTTCATTTAATTTTTTAAATTTATTTTTCTATATTATTAAGTTATATTTTGTGGGAAGAGGATTCATTTATAACTCTGCTCTGAGTTATATTTAAACTAAACATTTATTAATAAAAAAAAAGGTTTAATGATATTAAGAGCTTGAAATAATCCCTTGATTTTTCCCTGCATGTATTCTTACTCCCTTTCATTCAATCAACATTAATTAACAGAATTTGTAATGAGTTCACATATTCACAAAAGTCTCATTATTACAGATTAAAGTTCGGGAAGAAAATTTCAGTGGCTGTAAACTCTTGCCCATTTATTTCCTGAAAATAGTAATAAAGGACCAAAAAAAAAAAAAAAACATAAAAAGAAAATGTTAGTGACTGTGACATATTTTATTAGTGGTTACTTGTTGAAATAATTGTTAGTAAGTCTTTTTACTTTTAAGAGTATCTTAAAAATATCCCAACCACAAAGCAAAGTGGTGTTAAAAGGTACATGGCAAATTAAAGTGGTCTATTTCCCCCAAACTAGTAACATGTAACATGAATGTTACTACATATCACGTGTGGTAGGTATTAAGTTATGCCTGGAACTGACAATACAAATCTAGTTCAGAATAAAATGTGCTAAAAACATGGTACTAGAATGGACAAGATAAGATATAAGGGAAATCATAAAGTTACTGAAGATGTTATCAACAGAATAAGGAGGATATTGCAACAATACATCACATATCATTGATTAAAAGAGTCAGCTATTATTTTTCCTTCTGGCCAAAGTAACATACAGAAAATGTCTCCTGAATTTTAATACCGGGAGTTACCAAACCTACCAATTAAATAGCAGGTAAAATATTAAGTATTTTTAGATGATTTGAAAGGTATAGGGAAGTGATATAGCAATTCATTTACTAAATATTCATTGTTTCAACAATCTTTCACACACCAGGTTCTACTGTCTTGTATACTTAAAACTACTTTAAATATAATATTAGTAATCACAGTAGGGGATAAATGTGGTTAAACATTTAGAAATACTGCTCCTAGGATATGAACTTATATGCCACCAAAATAAATTATATTAATACTGACTTTTGAAGAGTAACCCTAATTAATAGATAATTTCATTTTTCATGTTGATTGGTTTCTGAACATATAGAACATAGCTCAATAAGGAGCTTGTTTTACACTTTAACTCCTGTTTCACATAGAATCATTACAAGTTATTAGCATTTTACTAGCAAATTAAATTACAAGTTTAATGAAAATGTATCTGTTAACTTGTTTCACCTAGCAAATAATCTTCATTCTTTATTCAATTTACAGTAAGATTTTACTCCATGTCAATGAATCTAAGGTAAGTGAAATAAAATAAAAATGTATCTAATGTTAAATTATAAAAAATGTCTCTGATTTGCCAGCACATTTTTTTTCTTTGAGAGCCTTGGTAGTTGTAGGAGTTTTGCTACAAATTCAAGTTGTTGTTGTTGTTGTTTTTCTTTTCTTATCATGAAAGTATATCTTAATGTGAGCAGGCATTATATGTTAAGTTTGACCTATGACTTACAAAGAAACAAAGAAGGAGCAATGGTCTAAAGATGGTCATCGTTTTTTTGTTGTTGTTGTTGTTGTTTTGCTAGTCTTGTCCTAACCCATCAGCAGAGAACATGTGTGGTCAGAAAGTACCACATTAATACATTCTTTCCCTGACAGAGTAAGCTACCTTGAGCTTGCCAAATTCCAACACAGGTAGCTCCATTTTCTTCCAGCCCAAATTCCTGCTGCTTTTTCAATTAGGTAAGTTATTTCTACTTCCTGTCATTTTAAAGAGTTGCTGGCTGACATAGGTTATCAGGTTTCCATCCCAGTGGCTGCTGCATTTCCACAGTGAGTGAATGATGTCTCAGAGGTACTTTGGGATGAAAGCTAGTGGATAAAATGTGAAGAATTATATTTTTATTCCTTCTCTTTGGAGGGATTATTCTATAACTTTCGTGTTTAGCTTGGAGGGCCCTTATGATTTGATTTCTCTTCTGAAGAAGTGAAACAGCCACCCAGACGGTAAGCATTTCACATTTCAGCAGAGTGTAATTTGATTTGGAAGTTCAATGAAACTTCTCTCCAGTAATATTTCCCCTCTTAAAAAACTTGGTTTTAAATTTCTTGTTTCACACATAAACAAGCTTCAGGGAGTCTGAATGGTGAGTGGCAAGGTGGGAAAAGAAATCACTTTGAACAATTTAAATAAATCATTAAAAATAAGTGATGTTCTAATCTTTGTAGGATTTTACTATGCAACTGCTGTGTAACTTTTGACTTTCAATACCATTTGTAACATTCTCATAAGTAATATCCTAAAATTTATTTTATTTGATCGCTTTAGAAACCCTAGTGAGTGTTCCATTCAGACAATATTTATACGAGGTCTTTTCTGTACCAGGTATGGTATGGTAAAATAAATGTGATAGTCTCTCTCATTCAGACATTCAAATCTTAAATAGCTGCAGCTAGAAATCAATAAAACATTAGGAAAAAATGTATGAGTCTATCGAATGCATGTAAATTAATTTTATGCTGCCAATCTACTAGGAATTTCTAGTATTTATGGATCTGGCATTCTCATTTCTATGGTTTTGATTCCTACAAAGTCTGAATTGACATAGACAACACTATTCCCATATTAAAAACCTCCCTTCCTCAATATTCTGTTTACTTACACATACCACACATTTATACACACACAGAGGTTCATAGAGGAACTCAATATATCTTAAAAATGTTTTCTTTATGATTTTATATTCCTTAAAAAATTATATCTCTTTATTCAAGCTTAATTATTATGTGAAATTCTCATCTTATAGCTCTTTCAAATTGTGAAGCTGGAATAAATGAAACTTTCCCTATTAATTAAAGCTAACATAAGATGGAGATGTATAGGGAGTAAGATATAAGGCCCATCGAAATCAATTGTCTGGTATAAGTTCAGGCAACACATAGTCTATAGAATGCACAGAAACATCTATATCAGCTCTAAATTAAGCATACGGTATTTTGATTAATCATCAGTTTTACCATTTATTTAAAATAGGAAGTCTCTACATGTTTTTTATACATTCTCATTTTCTGCAAATAGGCTGGCCTTACATTAGCATGTAACTCTAAGTGTTGTAAATGACATAACATGAATTTGTACATCGTTCTATGCCTATAGTACATCAGAACCTCTCAACACTGAAAAATCAAAATGATCCCTAATAGCACATATGTTACATGTCAGAGATCACGCTCTTCCATCTTACCATGATACAGACAGATGGAACTCATCCATCTGTCTGTATCATCACTGTGCTGCAGTACTTTAACAAATGTCCTTCTTTAATCCCCAAATAATATAAGAGAAAAAAAATAGTATTGTGCTGTGTCCTAAGTAAGGTTCTTCATCAAATTAAATTGAATCAAACTGAAATTTACAGATGTGGTCAGCTTATTCTATTATTCCAGTGTAGACATTTAGTGATCATGTGAGCTGGTTGACTTCTATTATTTACATTCTAGATTAACAGGAATTTTAATAAATAACTTTGAAGTTTTCAATTAGGATGACTTTCTGTTGAATTCTACTGAAACAGAGAAAGGCACCAAGGAAAGACTATTAAAAGTTCCCATAAAATCACGGAAAAACTAAAATATAAAGAACTAACATAAGCTAAAATAGTTTCTCTAGCTATTTTGTTTTTACAAAATATTCATATAATTGAATTTTGATTGTACAGCACAAAATACCTTATATTGATTTGTTTTCAAAATGAGACACACATACTTCAAAGCTGTTATTTTACAGTCAAATTGGCTCAAGTTAGCATGACTAGAAATTTAATATCATCACTCCCAGCACAGATAGACATGACAAAGCAACAGGCACAAGGAAATACCAAAAGAATACAACTGACATTTCAAAATTGATAAGACTAGCATCTGATGTCTGCTGCAGCGATAATTACCAATTAGAGTGGAGATGAAGGAGGAGTTGGGATCAAAAGGACACCTGCCCCTTCCTCTCTCAGACCTGTGTGACTCCAGGTGAAACTGTGGATCCTTGAAAGAAAACCAAAAATACAAAAATGTTTATACCAATTTTAGTAAGAATCGCTTACATAAGTATATTAACCTTAATTATTTACAAAACAGGTACTGTAAATAGGGCACTGGACAGTAACATCAAGTTATTTAGGAATTAACCGGGTTTTATAAATAAATGCATGGGTTTTGCAGTCATAGATGGGGCTTCTCACTCCTAAAAAGTGCAGGTGATGAAATGAATGAAATTAGTAGTTTTTATCACTTGACCAGAGAGTATTAGTTATTCGGAGATGTGTCAGTTGAATATTCCAAAGGAATGAAAACCTGCTGAAAAAAAGGTCACTAATAAGATCCAGTGATAAACATGGAAACAGGCTTTCATTCCATAAGACCATTATTGATTTTTTCGAATAGTCTATAAAGGAAGTTAATAAAGATTTCCATCAATAATATGAAATATTTATTTCCAATCATTTTTATTCTTTATCACATATTCTTTGTGTAGACAACTAAAACTTAATAATTTAGAGAATGATTACTGCATAATTGTTTGGATATATTCGTGTAAATAAATGTCACACTATGAGCAATATTTCAGTCTGGCTTAACACAAATGAGGCATTAAAATCAATAGTTCCAAGAAAACTATTACTTTATTGGTTCTTATTGCAAGCACATAACCACAGAAATTTTCTTGGTATGTTCTCAGATTTCAAAGTTTTCAATAAAAAAATTTATAGCTACTGTCCATTCATTGTGCTATAGATGGTTTGGATAAAAGAAATTTAGCATGGGAAAGTGACAGTAACATTTAATAATGGAAATCTGGTAGAAAAAAATTACAGTTGACCCTTGAAAAATATGGGGTTTAGGGACCTGCATCCCAACTTCCATGTAATTGAAAATCTACACAGAACTTTCTATAGTCAGTCCTCTGCATCCACAGATTCCCAACCACAGGTCAAAACATTTTTGGTGCTTAATTAAAAAAAAAAATCCAGGTAGAGATGGACCCATTCAGTTCAAGCCTGGTTGTCCCCCAATTATATTTATAATTGCCCCAATTATTTCACTTTATTGTTTCTATCCTGATGTTGCCATTCTTACTGGACATGCTTTACTCTTTCTCTGGATGATAACCTGAAATCGCCATTCTGACTCTGTCTTTCCAAAGTCTTTCTGCTAAATGCAGAGTTCACCTGTAACCCTCCAGTTGTATCTTTGGAAATGAACCACAGCCTATAGAACAGATATGTCCTCTTAACCAAGAATGTGACTAAACTGATATTTTAAGAAGAAAAAAAAAGGTGTTACCTATTTAGACACTTTACATAAATTAGTAGAGTGTAAGAATCCCCATAAATCATTTGAGACACTTTTGTGTTCACTTCCATATAGACAAACATTTGCAATGACATGACAAGAAAATGCTTGTTCAAATGAGACATAATTATTGGTCTACTGCCTATGCTGAAGGGCTTTCATTAAATTTTGGAAACATATCCATAGCATTACACAGAGGAGGAAGTGATCCAGTCTAGGAATATAACAATCGCTTGTCACTGTCATTATATAAACATTCGGAAAAATAGGTGGGGTATACGTATGTTCTAATATAGTTAAATGCCCCAATGCTTGGGTATGAAGCTGTTTAAGGGATGTACTGGACTGCTTTTTTATTATTGAGCTTTTGTCCCATGAGTTTCGAACAGAGGCTTTCTTTACCTCCTTAAGCTGCATATGACTGAAAGATACACTGACCCAATTCACCTTTATTCCTTAAAACTCAATAGATTATTTTTTGCAACTTTATTCAATTGAGGTGTGAAAATTGCTAAAAAGAAGTACAAGGAAATATTTACCCTACTGAGTAGTACTGATACTATGATGGAAAGCAGGCAAATTCCAAACTTTTATTGCTTTATTTTGCATAGATCAAGATAATTTGGAGATTAACTACAGATTCAAATCTAAAGCTTCTCACATTATTTTGAACGTTCAATGTGGTCTTAAATGCAGTGTATAATTTAGTGCACAGTCCAATAAAATGCTAAAACGCGAGTGTCATGTAATTTTCTTCTAAGAAGTGGAATTTAGCAACCAAGCCAACCAGAAAACTTGAGGCATGATGACACTGTCAATGACCCCAAAGGAATCGAGTTTATGGTTCAAGGACTGTGTAATGCTGGTGTTTAACCCTATTGAGAATGTTGGTCACGACTTACCCTGGCTTCCCATTATCTATGTTTTAACAGCTGGAATTTCTGCCTGAGTTATGTGGCTTAAATTTACAAGACATCACTAGCATTAACAGTGTGGGCTGCATGCTTTGTTTTGCTGTGATATGGAGACGTTTTTCAATATATCCTCCTGTGCTTGAGGGAAAGCAGGACATCTAGGTTACAAATGTTCACAGACAAAAAGAAAAATGTTTGTAAAGAATAAATGGTATATCTTCTCAGGAGAATTTTCCCCTTTAGGCCTTGAGGAAAGTCCTCAGAACTCAGCAAGCCTATTGTTAAGTTATTTTCAATAGGGGTGAGTCCCTGTATGTCAGGTGTTAAATACCAGTTAAACAAAATGAGAATTTCCCATCTGTGAGATGTCCAAAGTAAATTAGAACATTGCAAATTCTGAAAAACAAATAATCACGTATTATATTAGCTATTTCTAACGATTAGAGCAAAAGTAAAATATACAAGGCTCATGCACATATATCTGTCAACAATGAAAACAAAACGAAGATGCATTTTTGGTACATACATGTCTAGAATAAATAACCATAATATGCACTTTATTTATTATTATTATTTTTTAAATCCTCACCCGAGAATATTTTCCCGTTGATTTTTAGGAAGAGTAGAAGAGAGAGGGAAAGACAGAGATAAATATTGTGTGAGAGAAACATGGTGATTGGTTGCCTCCCACAGGAGCCCCAACCAGGGCCCAGGCAGAGGAGCCTGCAACCAAGGTACATGCCCTTGACCAGGATCGACCCAGGACCCCTCTGATTGCAAGCCAACACTCTATCTACTGATCCAAACTGGCTAGAGACATAATATGCACTTTAATTCTTAATTGAATAGCTATTTAATAATCTGTATCACAATTCAATTTTGACTATGATTTGCTTCTTTACCATTTTTTTCATTTTTTTATGCCAAGCAATAAAAAATTATTTAAAAAAATATTTGAAACATGTCAAAAAGACTGAATAAGCAAAGAGGGAAAATGTGCAAAAGGGGAATAAAGTTGTTAGTAATTGGTCTGCATTTTAATTTTTTTCATTTTCACATTTTTTCTCTAAAAGTAATACACTTTATTTTTAATGCTTTAAAATTTAGAAAGCATTCCTGATGAGTCCTACCATCCAATCAAAACTCAGTAGACAATCTGATAGACTTTCTTTAAAAGTTCAATGCATGATAATACCCATAGCTCTTTAACTACACTGTCCCTTTGGACAAAGTGAATTCAATCTTCCTATGCTCTATAACACTGACTCATACTTAATGGGAAAATACTTTAAAAAAAAATCTGAAAAATTATTTTACAGATACTCTCCAAGACTCTCCCAGGCAAAACTTCTCTCATGGACCATACTATGTGTCTTTGCTGCATTATCCCCCACTGCATTGTGATTATGTTCATATGAATAATTCAACAAACACTCTAGAAGCCTAAATGTGCTAAGTATTCAGTCAACATTAAATTTAAGAAGCATGATCCATACTACTTAATTTAAACCCCATAAAAATTAAGCCAAGAAACCTTTTTAATTGCCAACTTAACAAATAGCAAAGTCAAAATGAAAAGGTCACTAAAAATTATATATAATATAAAATGCCAACAATTTTAGTGACTATAACTATGTATGCCTATTTTTTGAACCGTTGTGAACATGCTATCCAGTATAGATATTTTAGGGTGAATTTGTAGAAAAAAGTGGTAGTAGTGATTACTTGTTCAATGTAAACTTATGATTTCCTATATACACTATACGATAAAATAACTGCCACAGCAAGTCCAATAAGCAGTTGAATTGAACTGTACCTGTTTCTTAATAAAATGTATGATATAGATATCATTGTATTTGTACATATATTAATCTATATGTATATAATAAAAGTGATCATTTAATATGTCCAATGTCATACCAGAAATATTAATACGAAATTATTTACTATTAAATTAATATTTATTAATATTAACATTAAAGTGTTAAATAGGAGAATGCTAAAAATAATGAATAAATATTTATATATACTTTCAAAAATTTGACTGAAGAGTGAAGGTCTTTAGACATTTACGCATGGGAAGAAATGGACCATACCGACTCAAGTTAGCTTTATGATTTCGACTTTTCTTCTGTACTGCTTTTCCTGTCCACCTTCTCTGGGTTTGACTATTTTCACTGTTATTCTGACCACACACAATGAAACAAGAATCAGAATTCTTTTTTGAGGACAAAGCTGCTTTTTATAAAACTATGAATGTCTACTTTTCATGGGAAGGAAGTCATAGCGCCCTTTTAATATGCTGGGAGCCTTCAGAGCTACCCCTCATTTCTGTGTCCTTATCCCCTTTCACTTGGACACATTTGAAAACCCCTCAATTCTATGAGTGCCCTTACTACTGACTGAGTCATACAGGATCACAAAGGATCACAGTCCTGTGTGAGAAAGTAAAGAATCGCTGGTAAAAGGAAAAATAAACCCACCATCTGCACAGTAAGAACTGGACAGCTGCAGGGGAAAGGACACTTTTTGTGACAAATGATTTGCCATTCCACCCTGGCTGGGGCCATACAACTCTTGGAGTTAAGTAGTATCAACAGAGGCAATTATGGAAAACAGGGTTACGGTATAATGTCTTTCATAGTTATCAGAGGAGTCTGGGCTATGTGATTCCTGGCTTTTTCTCATAGTAAGTATACTTATAAAGAAATGTATCTACACTGTAATAACCTATGTAGTTAGAGATGAGAATTCCAAAATTATTTTCCAAGCTGATAA